TTGAGAACTACTGTGCTGTGTTTTTAAATGTACGCTAAGTGTGGTAAGTTTTTTTTTCTCTTGCTCAAACCATCCACCCATTGAGGAGAATGTTTGGAGTCTCTCAGTTTTTTCCCCCCCTCCTCTTCCCAACTGTTTTCCTTTCACATCTAAGATATCGGAGCGCTTAACAGCGACCCGGCAGGCTTCCCGTTCTGTCTCCCCCATGTTGGTTATTGCTGTCTTGTCTATGTTCCTCTCAACGGGGGCGTCACTGGGAAGTAAATTGCTTGTGTCTTCCTTGCATAAATGGCAAATAAATGTGATTCTGACTCTGGCGCGGCCTTAAGAATTTGGAACCAATTCCATTCGTGCCGCTGAACGTTCGCTGATTGTACACCGACAGTTGTCAGGAAAACTTCAAGAGGGCTCATTCATTCTCTGTGCTCCAATGCTGTCTGTGTGTGAGGCCTGCCTCTCACAACACAGCAGCCAGGAAGTTGATTGACAGGAGCAGGAACGAAGCGAAGAGACTGAATGTTGATGATGTATGTAAACAAACACGCATGTAAATGACAATTTATCGAGTCCGAAAGAAAAAAAAATCAGTTGATATGGCAATTATCGTGTTTATCAAAATATAACTCGACGTAATAATTATGGTGACAGGCCGAGAGAAGCCCAACACAATAGCAAGAGCTGAAATTTGGTGTGTGTGTGTGTGTGTGTGTGTGTGTGTGTGTGTGTGTGTGTGTGTGTGTGTGCGCGCACGTACCTGTATGTGTGGTCTGACCGCATCCTTTTTCTTTGTTTTTTTTTCCCTGCGCAGGAACAACACGGCCACCTTGGAGTCATCGCCATCGTTCTTTCCCACCAACGGCGAGGGTTGGTCGCAAAGGTTACGACATGCGTGGCATCACGTGAGGTCACGTTGGTCTCCCCGCAATTCTCCTCCATGGTTACGACATTCTCTGCAAACATACGAGGGCCGTTTTAACCCAGACGACATTTAAACTTCAAAACGGTTTGTTTGAAGACGACTTTCACCTTTTGGCGCCCCATAAAAAACGCTGGCCTAGCAGTACCAAAGAACATGTGTGGTCTCATAGTTGTTAATGCAAAATCAAGGACAATAGGTTGGGGCGCAAAGGTGAGCAGGAAGTGAGGGGACTGGAGGAGATTACAGGGGCGAAGGTAGATTATCGAACCAGAACAAAGGCGCTCTGTTTTCCAGCCTGGAGGAGCCTCTGGGATGTTTTGGAAGGTCAGGGTGTATGTTGTAGATTGTGGCATTAAGGTTTAGGTGTCAGGGTTTGTGTGAATGACAGAGTGCAGGATTACAGGTGGTGGTATAAACTACAAGGTGAACATTGATTTGGGCCTATAAGTGTTAAAATACTGCAACTCATTCGATGCCAGCCCAGTAAATATGAATCTTTGACGCCTTAAGCCGTCAATGGCAGTGAAAGAGTCAAAAGTTAGCAGTTGGGGTCCAAAGCTACAGGATAGCCCTAACATTTACCCAAATGGAGAATTTGGGATCGGATTTGAATCAATCAAATAAGCTAACAACTACTCCCAGTACAGTTGAACTTCAATGATGTGTACAGTGGCGCTGCAGGTTTACTGCCAGTTTCCCGGAATTTGCTGCATATATTCTTTGAAAAAAAGATTAATGAATAAATAAAATGAAGAACACAACCATGTACACATGCATCGTCCATCCTTTGATCCTCTCGAAACGGACTGATGTTCTGTGTCATAAGCAAGTACACACAGGTGTATTTTGGCGCAAAGGTGTCACTTTGAAGTGGCCTGAACATTCCGTCACACACATCGCTACCTAGTGGGCTACTTCCTATTGAAGAAAACATCAATATTTGCCCAAATAGGATGAGCAGAAGCCTCTGAAGCGCAAAGGGAGAAGCCACAAAGCTTCTGCCGTCCAGTGCGAGCCATCAATGACCAACTTTGTGTACACGCCGCCACTGCCAGCTGTAGCTCATCATTATTTATGAGCAAATATTTCTTCTGGGGGGGGGGGGAAAAATGAGTGCACGACAGTGAAAATATTTTTTAAGTCAAAGTTGGCATTCCTGGACTGCCGCGAGGAATTCCGAGGATGCAGGTACAACAACATTCAAAGTAATACAACCCTGATTCATTGGAAGAATGAGAGAGAGAAAATGCACCTAACAGAATACCCTCGTAAGCTTTTTTGAGGAAGGAAAAGTGGTAATCTTGTGAGACTTAAGTCTTAGCCTAATGCTAACGCATAATGGGGGAATGCCTTAGGAGAGCTCAAGCAACTAGCATCGATATTGCGGTATTTATAAAGCTATAAATAACTTAATTGGTCGCAAATGGCGGCAACACACACAAAGAGACGACATAAAAATACTCAGAAACTTCCTGCGCGAAAAAAAAAACGCCAACTAATCTTATTCCAGCTTTGTTGCAAAGGTGTTCCATGTTTCGTCATCAACCCTACTCGCATTCTGTCCGTATACATCTTACTGCCTCCTGGTGGCAAAGTCACACATCAGGTACACAATGAGAATAAAGTTGTGAGCCAGTGTGTGATGTCAAAGGATTAAAGTCTGGAGGAAAATTTGTTTTTACGCGCAATTAAATACAATACAATGGGAATAAAGCTAAAGTTTTCGAGCAAAAATGCATATCAAGAGTATAAAGCTGCATTTTTCAAGTAAAAATGCATAATATTGATAATTCTTTGCTCAGAGTTGGAATAAAGTAGTACACGTCATCATAAATGAGTATAACAATGGCTTGTCAATTATTTCACTGTCCTCTACAATTATTATGAATCAAATGGGGGTGGGGGACGCGGGGGGGACTAAAAATTAAAGGCACGGCCTTCACTTGACGTAGGGAAAGAATTGCAGCAAAGCCTTTCAGAGTAGCATGTAAACCACTGCCCCCTGCTGGAAAGAATACTCACCTCCAGGTTTTTGCACATCCTCTGAACCCAAAGTTACTCAGGTGTAACCATCACATTTGGCATAGGGTACATAAAACTTCACTCATATTGAAGGAAAACAAGAACACAGAAGAGGTGTATTTACGAGACAAAACTGTCAAAAAGTGGTCACCTCAACTACTGAAATGACCTCAGCCGTGCAAAGTTTAACTTGCATTAATCATGGAAATAAATAGCAATCCTTCCCCTTTTCGCACTTACACGGAGCAAAAGGCAGCTCGTCCTCAGCGTGGCAACAAAGTCAACGGGTGGAGTCACAGACATCATCATGTGAATGATTCATCAAGTACCAACAAACAGCCCTTCATATGCTCCACCACTTTCATTCTGTAACGAGCACTCATTGATGTAGAGTTGACAACTTTGGCCTTGATTTAAAAAAAAAATTTTTAGGGGTGCACTAACTTTGAAAGGGAGGTTTCGGAAAGCGGGACGTCATCCAAATGTTACAGTGTGTCTTTCAAAAAAATCCGGAACCGACATGTAATGTCCAAGTGGAACTATGTCGTTTTGAGTAACTAACACACTGAACTGCTAAATGAGCATGAAACTAAGTGAACCACTGTCATATGAAAACTAAAATAAAGTCAAACTACTCACCCTTTTGAAGCCGCCTCATGATGGAAAGCGGAGCACCATGGTCACAGTGGCATTTTATGGGTCTTGCTGGAATTATTACATTGCATGGCTGTCCGGGGGGGAAAATGAAGAAAAAAAATGATATAAATTCATTAAAAATACAACGCATCTTACAAAAAAAAAATCATTTAAAAAATATTGCCAGGACGATTTTTTTCGGCCGATGCCGATTTATTCAACAAAATACAGATAACCGATGAATAATTAGAATATGTTTAATTATTATAATTGGTATGTTATCACTTAAAAGATATGATTTCTTTAACTTCACAACAGAGAGAAATATTGACAAATGTACTTTTTTTTTTTTTTTTAGAGAAATATTGACAAATGTACTTTTATTTTTTGCATTTTTGGAGGGTAAGGGATGTTTGAATGTCAATAGCGTGTTATGCAGTAAAAAAAAAAAGGGGCAAAAACTGGTCAATTTTCATCAACTTTAAAAGAGCTAATATCAGCCGATAAAATCAGCTGGCCGATTGATAGGCTCCGCCTCCCTATCTAGAATTTGAATGGAGATGTCGGCAAAGGAATGTCCCTTCTTTCATAGCCAACAAACTGAAGAAGCTGCTCACTGATGTTGCGCCATTCACCTGCTTGGTTTCTCCAGTGTAGAAGAAAACGCCTTTATGACTCAAGGCGAAAAGTCTTTTGCAAGTCACGACTTGTTTACAGCACCTTTAATTAATTTAATTCGTTAAGCCTCAGTAGTCAGAAAAACACGCTGGGCTCTTTGCAGCAACTTGCTACATTCCAATAGAATCACCTGTCGGACTTCCGAGCGGTCCAGATGATGTATTCGCACCTCCGCGTCCAAAGCCTCTTCCGTAGCTCTCGCCCCTGCCAAGGTAACATTTTCCTCGTGCGTGTCAGCAATCTGTCATTTCCACCTCGCCGCTGGCCAAGTCCACAATGACTCACGCCGCATTCACGGGAGCCAGGATCTCATCCCCCAAGAGGGCAGCCCATTTCCAGCGCCATGGTTTGACCCACGGTCTTGGTTTTGAACACTAAGTGGTTGTTTCAATTTGACCCAAAATACCTAGCCTCCATATATTCCGTCATAATCAAAATCATTGCAGTTTAAGTAACATGACATGACTATTTATATGCATTTAACATACTCTAGTTACTTCATCATCCAAGTTACCGACCATTGCCTGGTAAACTCATGCCGAGCCAAAACGGTGTTCCACAAGGCTTCGTTAGTAGCCCTCATCTGTAGTTCTCTGTATGGTTTTCAATCTTTTTGTATTGTTCAAATATTTGATGAGAAGTGTTCTATAGGAAAGTAAGCGACTCTAGGCCATCCTTCCTGCTCCCACAGCAGCGCTTTCATAAAAACCTTCATTTGCACACCACTTGAAAAACCACTCGCATCTCTATGATAAGGTATATTTATTAAAATGAGTGTATGGGAGGCAGCACAGTGCTCAGTTACAAAAGGCAGCAAAATAAAAGGCCCAAACAAAAAACACATTTTGATCTATTCTGTTTGTTTTGTTTTCTCATCATACTTTGATGACTGCATTGTCAAAGTCAAGTCAAATTTATATATATTAACTATCTGCTTTTAGCTTCCTTCATATCAAGAAAAAAAACTTCATTTCATGTAAAGTGTCTAACTCAACAATATAATATGCAAAAACATTTTGAAAATAAGGCTTTTTAACTTAAAAGCACAAACTGTTTTTGTTTTTTTTTTAAACAGGCTTACATTAGAACAGTGCTTTGGAATCAGCCAAGTTTGGCCAAATCGTGGTATAATTGCACCAACTGTGAGGATTGTGCAACGTGTAAAACAGTTGGCCACAACATTAGGCACACCTGTAAAATCTCAAGTGAGATCGAATCACAGTGCTTCATCAAAGAATTTGTTTTAACACGTGTAACAATGCTCTGTTTTGATTTGACATCGTCAGTGAGGTCATCGTTTCAAAATATGTGCATTATTGCGGTTCTAAATTGCATCCTACAGAGCTGTTACCCATATTTTGGTTATCATTACAATTATTTTTGTGGGGGTTACAGAACCCCCAATCATGCCATTAACTATATGTGATTAGTATATGCTTGAAAAGGTCAATAATGTCAGTAGTTCAATTCAGAAAGTAAAACTTACATATTGAAAACATTAAACTAATTGAAAAATCAATTGGCAGAAGGCCAATTCTACCTAATTTTTTTTAAATGTGTAAATGGTAATCATTTATGGTCATCTCATTCCTTCAGATGGTGAATTTGGGGTTTTCGGGAGCTGTAAGCTAATAATCATAAGAATCATAAATAATCATATCATAAGAAGCTTGCTGTGTTTGGCATTGTTCATTACCGCCACCTACAGGATTGCAGTGGAAACACCATTGCCATGTTGATGTTCGTTTCGCCTTGGCGGAGGTCTGCGCTGCACCCGGGGTGCCATTCCAGGTCAGCACTTTGGACAGAAACGTTTGCTACAGGTCTTATCGTATTGACTCTCACTAGTTGGCGTGTGCGTACCCAATGAAGTGGCCGTCGAGCTTTTAACATTTCTTGGCAGTAGGAGACGACGTGAGGACCCCCGAGGGGTGCAAAGGAGGAGGCCCTCACTGCTTAGCGACGCCCCAGATGATGAGTCCCACAACGATGGCGACGATGGCCAATAGTAAAATCAGGATGCAGATCTTCTTCCGAGAGCGCCGCTTGAAAGACGAATAACGTTATCACAATAAGGTCGTGAGTGAACTTTCTCTCATGTATCGCTTGTTCTTGATAGGGAGGTCACAAGGTCATTGGCTGTGTTTAGATTTCCCCACAGGTCAAAATTGGGCAATGCCTTTTTTTTTTCTTGGAATAACTCTCTCCTTATGGCCCATTGCTTATCTCTTTTACCTGATAGTCGGCAGCACGCGCCAGCTGCTGCGTGGCACTCTGGACGTTCACATCTGCACTCTCCACATTGGCCTCGATAGTATCTGCGGAGCAATGACGAAAGGATGAGAAAAGGAGGAGCCGACAATTTTAAATAGGATCTATTTCATGTATTCATCTGGAGGGGATGCAGAACGGAGATGTTCTCGAGGTGCTCCAGCTCCCCCACCGCATAAAAAGCATGCCTGTGAAGCGCATTAAATGACTCTGACTTGCCGTACAGGAGTGAATGGGAGTGTGTGGTTGTTTATTTGTGCCCTGCAATTGGCTGCTGAGCGGCCCAGAGTGTAACTGGCCTTTCACCTAAAGTTAGTTGGCACAAACAAACCCCAATGGAAAAAAAAATAGCTGGATGGATTTTCTTTCGGTTTCTGATTGGCTAAAATAGCCTAGCAGGGGTTACAGCAATACCCTTTGGCATGTATTTGAAAGTCAGTCAGATGTTGATAATGTAATCATTTTATATACAAAATTAGTAACACCAAAGATTAAGGAAAGACGGTTACTAAAAAAACATACGAAAAATTGATCAGCAGTTCTAAAGGTTGAAGCTGCACGGTGGTCCACTGGTTAGCACGTCCGCCTCACAGTGCAGAGGTGCAGGGTTTGACTCTGGCCTTCTTGTGTGGAGTTTGCATGTTCTCCCCGTGCCTCTGTGGGTTTTCTCCGGGTATTATGGTTTCCTCCCACATTCCAAACACATGCTTGGCAGGTTAATGGAACACTCTAAATTGTCCCTAGGTGTGATTGTGAGCGCGAATGGTTGTTTGTCTATGTGTGCCCTGTGATTAGCTGACAACCAGTTCAGGGTGTACCCCACCTACTGCCCGATCTCGGCTGGGATAGGCTCCAGCATGCCCCGTGACCCTTGTGAGGATGAAGCGGATCAGAAAATGGATGGATAGATGGATGGATGTAGGTCAAACAACCAGTCCCCCTCCTCGTGCTCCCAAGAACAATTGATATTTCAGTGTACAATATTAAACAATATTTCGTTTTTGTCAATGAATTTTAACCATTGCACATTTTCAAATGTGAGCAGCATGCTTAAGAGAGAAAGCTTACCTATCATGTCGCCTTGATCGTGCACCATCATCCCAAGGTCCTTGAAGATGTCGTTGATGTCTGTGATGTCCGACTGCAAAAGAAGAAATTGACCAAGTTTAATGTGCATTGTTGAGAATGATACCATTTAAACCGTTTTTTTTGTTTTTTTTTTTTTGACGCCCTGCATACCTCCAGCTGCCTGATGGCCGTCTCTCTCTCCTGAATCAACCGGAGATCATCCTCGCTGACGGCCTCATCCTGATCCTGCACCTGCATGTCACTGCGGCGACAAATTCTGCTCAAGTCCAGACCACCGCTGGATACAGTGCACTTCATCGACTCACACATCCCGATATAGTACACCTCCATTTTGATTAACATTCAAGTATTACTCAGTGAATTAAAAAAAAAAATACAAGAATAAAATACAACAAAAAAAAAACATGTTGGCCAAACAATGACATTTCAAAGTAGAACTGACCTGTTTCTTACTAAGTTTTGAAAACAGTCTTTTTTTTCATCCTTACTGCAAATGTGACTAAGTAGTCAGGTTGACTAAAAGATAAGAGAATATAAAACTTAGGTGGAAGTAACAAACAAAAGTACCTTGGGAAAGGGGTGACACTTCCATAATGAGCCTCAGGCTGGCCTCCCTAAGGGAAAAGGTGAACATCACAATTTCAAAAAACATGAGTACTTCTGAAAGTATTTTGCTTTTCCTTTAACTTTTTTTATTTCTTTTTTTTTGGTAACCCCACTGCAGGACAGTACCAGTGACGGATGCTAGAGTCGGAAAACTGCTATAGCCAGCGAATGGACGGGGGCTTTTCCTCACCAGAAAAGAGGCACATTTGTGTATTTTCTTTTTTTGAGGGGGGTGTGGGGGGGGTGGGGGGACATTTTCTAAATTCCAACCACATTGGTGTTATTTGACAACACTGGCCAAAGCTACTTACCGACACTCTGGAGCTGGCTCTGACGCGGGCCACAAACTCTCGTTCTTTGTCGGCCGCCTCCCGCTGCGTCCTCTGGAAGGTGTTCAACGCCGCCGAGAAGTCGTTGAGCAATCGCTCTTTTTGGATCTTTCTTTGCCGCTGAAAGATAAAACTGTGTCAGCCGAAGTATTTATTCTCCGAAAATAAGACAGACAGTACCTGGTCTGCGCCCACAGGAAGTGCGCTGAACACCTTGATGAGCCGGCCGGTCTCCTTGGCAAGCTGGTTACCTTGTTGCTGATTCTGCTGCCTGGCGACCAAAGACACAGTTATGGTTTTCATCCCGAACGCTTGACCGCGCCAAAAATGAGCTTAGAATAAACTCACAGCGTCTGTTGCAGCTGGTCACTGTACTGATCTGTTCCAAGCAGCGTCAGCACCCTCTGTAGCTCGGAGGCTGCACATTTGTAGAGTTCACAAAATTATCAGGAATCCAATTTGATGTGGGTTTAATACACGTTTACTGTCAGACGATGGAATTCAACTCAATATGTGCTTGACTAGGACAAAGTAGCATAGCGCAGTGTGTGTATGTCTTACTCAGCAGGGTGAGCCGCTGGATGTTGGAGCTAATGTTCTGAACCAAAGCATTGGGTTCCTCTGGAAAGCCAGCTTGGTAGGCCATGATGGAAAACTGGAAGGAGAGACAGTCGAAAAAGACACGTTTTAATATTTCTTGAACTTGTTCATTCAAACTTGGCCTTCAGTTTCAGTTCTCTGAACGAGATTCTGGACTGTTAGTGCCTTCGCAGAAGCCGCAAATTAGTTCAACAACAAAGGGCGTTCCATAGATGACTTAGTTGTGTCGACGTGCTTCTACGCCAGTGTATGCCAAAAAGCGAAAATGATTAACGCTCACGTCAACTTATTTTAAGGCATACATAAAGCGTCTAACACCCTCCCCAACGATTTTGAGCCGAATCTCTAATTCAGTGTTGCATTGAATGGCGTGTTTAGTTAGGATAACGTGCGAAAGAGTCGTCAGAGGTTTGATTTATTTTACCTAAGCAGCAGCGGCGCGGAGAGTCGCGCAAGTTACTTCCTGGTGTCCACCCGCCTTGACACGTGACGTAATAGCCCCGTGTTAAATCACGAGTCATTCCAAAAAAAGGCTTAAAATAAACTTTTCATTTTATGTATTTTAAACGCACGAAATAAAAGATAAATACATCGACAAAAATGGTAACTATTATGCTGTTGTAATAAGTTTGGGTAGCTGGATACTTCCTGGTGTCGTCACGTGACCGCACTGTTTTGAATCATCATACGATGAAAAAAATGCTTTTTCAACCACTGAATTTAAATGGAAAGACAACAAGTTTGTACATCAAAAAAACATTTCCCGTTTATAATGTTAATAAGCAATAGGCGCTAGGATAAAAAAAAGAATTTAAATTGTAAATACTGCGATGTAAATGCCTTGGCACGCTTCACAATCAATCGGGAAATAAAGGGCAAAATAAATTGCTGAAAAAAAACAGGGATGTAAGTTGAGGGGTTTGTTGTTTTCAGTGGATACGAGCTCTACTTTACGAACGGCAAAAGGAGAAATGGAATCCTTTGAATGCAGTTTAATTGAAAGGGAAAAGAAAGACGCCTGCACGACAGCACGTTCGAGAGCACACCTTCTTCCGGGTACTAAAACACTTCCTGCTTCCTTCAGCCAATCAGATGCTCTCAACATAAACATGTTGAAGAAATTATTAAACATAATATAATTTAGGTAACTTTAACATCAAAGACAATACTGTAATGTTCAAACATAAAATGATAATAATTAACAATTTAACAAAAGCTTACAGGGGTGGCGCTACACCGAGGCTAAATTAAGCGCCAACAGCTTTTATTTGATATTTTAAAATATATTTATATGGGTCATGACGTTCCACCCATCAAATTTTAAATAGTCCACGCACAAAATACTAAAACAACCAGTTTCTGAGCACTGGATGAGGAAAAAAAATCCAAAAGCCATCCATGGAAAAAATCAAATGAACTAACACATTCGAAAATGTTGGTTACATAATAAGCACGAATTGACATTCAAGGATTTGACATGTGAAAGTGAAAATAGTTTTAGTTGTAAATGAGTATTTGGCTCGTCTTAATATTGTTGAAATGTACCCATTAAGTCGTCCTGTAGCATTTATCGTTTGGATATTCAGAAAAAAAAAAAGTTTTAACAAAGCTAAAAAATGTAGGTAGTTTAAATGGAGATGAACTCAAACAAAAAGTTTGAACACACGCTGAAGGAGTTTCGGTGCTGAAACGACAACTGTCATTCTCAAAACAAGTTCATGTAATCACGCTTTGTTTGACTGTCAGACTTTGACTGACCTATAAGTTCAACCCAAAAGGTATCTGTCTATAAGTGTTCTTTTTGGACGCACATGTAGTCACATGTTAATAGACATGCGCCTTGCACAATACTTTGTTTTAGTAAACCCGTTGCTATCTTAAACTCCTGGAACACAGAGGCCATCAAACATGCTATAGGACGTTGGACTTTAACGATGAAGTTTTTGAAAATGCAACAGATTATCCGGCGAGAAAACACACCAATGCTATTTAGCATTATCATTAAGTTAGCGACGTAAAAGCCCAAGTCATATGGTTGTTTTAAATACTCGTCACTCGTATCTGAGAGCACCGCTGTATATTTGTTACGATACTTAGTTCACATTAAAGGCTTGCTAAATTGATGAAACTATAATATCCAAACTTCCCAACTGGTGTAGAACAGCTACCCTGATCATAATTGTGGTTTAATTCGATGTTGTTTTTTTTTATAGCAATTCAAATGGAAATCCAAAACGGCATACATTATGTTTGTCTAATCGACAGTAGGCTATTGGATTTCTGATTCTAGCCTTGCCAATGCTAGTATAAGCTCTTTGGCAGTGGTTAAAAAAAGAAGTGAATGACTGCAAACAAATGTGATGAAGCCACAGGAATATGAAAGAGTTTATCTGACCGGTTCAGCCTTTTCCTCGATCCGATCGCTTTGTCCAAATAGCACTTATCTCAGCGTCAGGTCCATTGACCCAAGTCACATGGATCGATATCTGCGATAACGGCAGCGAGCCGAGTACAAAAGCTTGCATCACTGGCATCAGTCCAGCGTCTTCAGCTCTCGAGTCCTTCCTTCCTTCCACCTGCTTCAACCATGCGACTTCTCACGGCCTCCTACCTCCTCCTGGCGGCATCCGTCGCCTACTCGGCCGTCATCCTGGACAACGGCGCGCCCATCATGTGGGCCCAGACGGCGGCCCAGGTGAGCGACCTGCCTGTGCAGAACGACATCCTGACCCCTAACCCGTGGAACTTCCTGCACCGCATGAGCTTCTACCGGCTGATGATCGCCGCCACCGATCCATTCATGAGCTCCATGGGCACCGGTGCTACTGAGAGTCCCCTGTGGGGCTTGCCACTGCAGTTCGGGTGGATGCTGACTTCAGGTGGGATGACAAAAATTATCCTCCTTTTGTAGTCCCAAAAAAAACTATGTTGTATCTGCCAGATCCTGGTGACTTATCATTTCTTTAGAACACCATGATCCCGTTCAGGTTGTTCCCAGTCAAGTCCATGTCCAGTCATTTTGATACCGTTTATTGCACCGACTAAAACTTGTCCTACATCTTGGCTGACAACTGATTTACGATTACGTATCCAGTTCTCCCACCTCTGGAGCCGTCTTGTAGATTCGGTTCGGAGAGTAGAAACCAGTGTAGTTAAATGTTAAAACCTTCCATTGATTGATACAATACTGGCTAAGCCTTGTCTTGAATCATTTCCTATAGCTAGACTACCCAAGGTCTAGACCAGGGGTGTCCAAACTCGGTCCTCAAATGGTCAGGGTGGTTTCAGGTGTGATGGAAAACAGGCAGGACATCGGGCCGTGATGACAAAGACAATTTGGAAAAGTAAAGCTAAATATCTGGATTCCACTTACATGACATGCTGCGTCCCCTGCCAGGCCGTCTTGCTGACCCAACCGGCGCCACAACCTGTGGGCATCAGACCGGAGATACCATGTGCATTTCTCCTCAGAGTTGGTGGGGCTGTAAGTATGGACTTGGGTGTACTATTACAAAAAAAGAAAAACAAATTATAATCAATTATGTTCTTGGTCCTCAAGGTGTGAACCACTTTTTGTCCGTTCTGCCCTTCCTGTCCGCCGCCCAGCAGGGATTCTTCGGACAAGAAGTCCAGGTACACGATGGGCTCCACAGAAAGTAGACTCCACAGAAAGTGGACTTAGCAATGATGCTAACTGTGATTATTACTCCATCCCAAAAATACTTTGTTACTGTACATTCAGTAGATTTTGCAATTTCTTTGTTTTTTATCTACATTGGAAAACAATACTATCAAATTCTTTTCAGCTTTCATCTCGGCAAGACAATCTAAAGCATCCACACCAGCATTCTAGCGAAATGGAAGATTCTTTTTTTTTAGAGCCTAGGCATAGCTAGCTAGCTAACTACATGTCATAATTGCGGCGGATATCCGCTGATGCTTATAATTCGAAGGCACTCAAGTTTCTATACCGTGGAGTAGGCGGACTTGTGAAGGAACCCCAAGAGCTTTTCTGGGGTCTGAAACGATGAAAAAGAGTTAAACATTCTAGCGCCACAGCTGAGCTCTCAATCGTACCACGTTTTCAGCAATTATCTTCAAACAAATACAATGTATTTACAAACAACTCTCTTTTTTTTTTTCTATCTTGGTCAGGTCCAGATGCAGGTACCTGAAGGTACGGAGGGCTACTGCACCACCTACGCTGACTGCTCAACTAGCTACGCTGATGTGATGGCTAAATGGGACGCTTTCTTCCAGGTACGAAGCACATGCGTGATTTCAAGCTCGCAGTTGAGGTGTTCCACAAGGCTCCGTTGGTAGCCCACGTCTATAGTTCTCTGTATATCTCACTTGGTGGTCTCTCTGCATATCCAAAGGGCCTCAAGGCCTCCACGGAGTCCATCCTGCCCGAGAACGAGAAGAAAGACTCTATCCTCGGCCTCTACTGGGACGCCCACATGGCTTCGCTTCATGCCGCCGCAGCCTGCAGCACCAAGTAAATCACAATGTCCAATGAGAGCGTACAACAACTGGCTCGATTTTTGTTTTTGTGGGATGCATGAATTGTGAAAAAACGCACGTGTTTTGACGCCCTGTCCAAAAGGCTTATCATTGCCTACAAATGCCACAAGATGGCCCCAAAGCACGCTTCCCATTTAAATAAAGCATTTGGCACCATTTGCGCGTCAGCAAATAATGGAGCACACACTGTAAAGAAATTCCGACTTCAATTTTGTATTTCTTTTCCTGGCATGCAGGCAGAGTCACTACTCCGCCTCAGAGGTGAACTTTGCCTCCAGCTGGATGAACTCGGCCGAATACGTGTCTGCTGCCAATTTCCAGTCCTCCTTAGAGAAGTCCATCATGTTCCTCACGCCTTTGCCGGGACGCGTGCTGCAGGTTAGGGTGGAGCTGGGGTTGAGTTACTCTCTTTTCTACCATTCGTCATGCGATGTAAAACATTAACCATTTTTGTTTTTGTTTTTTTGTTTTGTTTTCGAAAAGGAAGGTGACCAAGCACCCAATATTGCTGACATGACTCAGGAAGAGAACCACACACTGTCCATCTTCTCCTGGATGAAGAGCATGAACACAATGCTGGGTACGGATTTATCAAATGAGTCGCAAATATTTTCAGTGGTGGTTACTGCCCTTCAGTGTGGCTGAGAGTAAATAAATACATATTTTGAAAGGGGCCTTTCCAACTCTGTAATGCCACACCCAGTTGGGGTTTACTGTCAAACTAAACATAAAACAAAGAGAAATAGGTTATTATTATTATTTTTTTTAAATGATTAACTTTTCCTTAAAGTTCACTAGCCCAGTGCTAACACATAATGGGAAAAACGATAGAGAGGGCTAATCAATAGCATCCATGTGGCCGTATTGTACTGCATTAAGTATACAAACGGTGACGCAATGGGCAAAGATAGTTTGAGATAAAAATGTATCATCTCAAGTATATTTTTCACACAAGTGTCTGAGTACTTTTAACCTTTTGGCTAATCCGCAACTGTGCTGC